GTGTGTTACTGTGATTTAATCATTCATGCATTATATACAGACATCTCCATGATTTGGCTAGAGGAGCTCTGCTATTTTTACTTACTTTAAAAGGATAGTGTTTTAGTGAGTAATTACTTGATAAAAGCATTTCACTTTTTTTATAAGTAGTGGTACCCTATTTGTTATGGTATGTCATGTTTATTGCATTCCCTCGGTGTATTTCTGTTGCTTTATTCTACTATTACACTTCAAGATGCTCTGACTCACTCACAACTTTTTAAATCACTTTAAATATGGGATCAGTCGAAAGAACTTAACATTTTACAAACTTGTCTGTTATCTCTTGCTCAACTTACAACTGTTAGTGACACTTACATATTTATTTACATTCAGATATCATCTACTTTCCATACTAAAAACATAGTTCAATGTAGTAGTTATGTGTTTGAAATAGAAAGTTAAAAATGGTACTCATTAGTGAACAAACATATTTTTTCCCCTAAATTCAATAAATGTTGGTAGAAATAATCTTACATATTTGATCAGATAGTTGAATGTATATCTGGACACTCTTCTGTTCATGGGATGGAAATTCCTTGACTTTTATGAGATACTAAAATAATGACATAAAGAAAATGATACCTGAAAGGCAAGTATCAATACATTGTTCATCCAGAAGTGTGTTCTAGTTGAATTCTGCTCTCATTCAAAAGTTAAACATCATGAATATGTATTAATTACAAGTATAAATTAATGTAACATTATCTATTTATAGTAATTATTTTGTTTTTTTCCAACATCAATATAATCTAGTTTTATTTAATAAATTATTGGCATGGTTAATTGCCTATACAACACACCCATTTTGTATCTTAAACATGTGCATGCAGGGTTGGTGGTTAACTCCTAACCTTTACATTCATCTAAGTCTTAATTATCAATTATTTTCTTTTTTAATTAAAAGGAATCACTACTAACTATGATACTTTACACCTCAGCATGGCTGTTGATCTGCTGGCATCTCCAGAGAACTGTTGAGAATGACTGTGGTAATGGCCAGGAGTTGATCATGGATCTTCATAATGGAAAGATTGGTGTCTTATTCTCTTACCTGGGGTCTCCCTGTTAGGACCTGAATCAGCTAACTATATCTGAACATTTTCAAGAAGGATACCCAGATTTTGCAGATTTCTATGCTAGTTTGACTATGTTATCAGTTGAACATATAAAGCTTATATTTCTCTTTGCTACATGTGGTTCATATAATTGTCCCATTATTTTCATGTTATTCTGTTTCATTGTATAGTTGTTGTTTTTTTATCTGGCATGATAATCTATTGTATATATAGATTGGTATTACAGAGTTTTATATTTCTGTAATGCTTTAGAATTCTAACTTTTGTTGGTCTTTTTTTGTTTCTCCAGTGTATCAGAGTCCATGTTCATGAAGGATGTTGTGAATGGTATTTTTGCTCTCCACTGGATCTTTAGGTGGTTGTATACCTCAAATGTGGTAGTACTATGATGTGGCTTGTGAATACATTTTGACTTCTTGCTAGTTGTGTATTTACTGTATGTTTTCAGAGAGACCTTAACATAGGGTAATATAGCTGTATGTCATTCTACTTACTCTTGGTGTTTATTTTCTTTATGAAGTTTTTTTTTTGGGGGGGGGGTATCCATTGTCAAGGAGGGGTGTAGTGATGTGTATTTGTTCCCTCTTAGTAACTTGGTTACAACAAATTTTGCTCAATCTCAAAATTAGACAGACTATGATGCCAGTCTTTACTCTGACATGGATGTTTTGATTTACAGAGGTATTTACTAGTATTTTTGGTTTTCCTGTAAATTCCTGTGATATATGATTTAAGTATCTTCATAACCATTGCATCTACGAAATGAAGTTTTGTTTTCTTATATTTCCATTGTGAATTACGTTGCTTGTTACTGTGTTCAGAGAATTCATATATTCTGAAATCTTCTCTTTAATGTGTGGCCACATTATGAATATATTTGTTGATAAATCTTAGCCAAATTTAGGTCTTGGAGCTTGCAGCTGATTTCATGTTGTGATTTTCCTTGTAGAAGTTACTGAGTACTAGTGATAGGGATGAACCCATGGATGGATCTTCTTGTCTATCTTTTTGCTTTCAACCTTATGAAATTCTCCATTTCTCCCCAGATGTGTCATCCACTAGTAGTGAACAATTACAAACCATCTAGCATTTGAATTCCTCTGGATACCTAGCTCACATTAACCTTTTACAACTATTATTGTCATTGAGCTTGCTTCCAGTTTTCATGTTTTATTGTAATTGTGCAAAGTCGAATCCTTATAACACTATTGTGGAATTGAAAGCTCTTCTGTGGTATCATACATGAACTGACAGGTAGATAATTGTATCTTTTCACATGTAGAACATCATCTAAGGGCTTAAAACCCTTTTAATTGCTTAGAACCTATTGACGTACCTGTGCTTGAATCTCCAATTTAATTTGTCTATCCCATGGAAATATAATTTTACCTGTGTTATGGTATCTTATCTCTCACTTTGGTTTTAGTGGAGTTGTGATCTTTCTAATAACGTAGAACATTATATTGTCTTCAAACACAAACTTCCTGTTTTCTGATCTTTAGTACTAAGTGATTGTCAGTTGGGGATCACTTTGAGTTGTGTTTGGTATAAAATATTCATGTATGTTTTCTGCCATTGGTTGTGTCCTGGATTCTTGCAGTGTCCATTAACCTCATCTGGTTGGCATTATCATGGTTTCTGTCATGATATAAAAGACAGTTTAGTTTAGATATTATTGATTAATTTATTTTTGTGAGTGAATGTTTTATTATTGTTTAGTTTTTGGTATAATAAGAGTTAAAAGAAGATGATTGTAGGAAGATTTGTTAATAATTCATTGATGTTGAGACCATTGAACTTTACGTGCAATACACTGATGTCAAGAACATAGAAGATGGACAGACAATGAGATGATAAAGATATAAATAGTGTGAGATGAGTGGGAAGCAGGCAGATAATACCAGAAGAAAGTAAAGTTATAAATAAAAAAGTTCATTGAGACTTTAATTACCACAGAGTGATAGGCCTAACATTTAATATGTTACACTAAGACTAACAGTAGAAAAGGAGATAAGAAGGAGGATTTGTTCAGTCAAAGCAAAATTCTAAAGTAATTGAATCAGCCTGAGTGTATTTTGACAAAAGGAACAGAGGATCTTCAGAAGAAAGAAGACCAAACTATTATGGTTACTCATGCCACAGTTGCAAGTGAATCACACATAGAACACTAGTGCGATAGTAATAGAGAAGATAGTTTGGCTTGTCAACTGAAATTCTAAAGCAATTGAATAGGCCTAAATGGACTTTTGACAAGAAGGAGAGGATTACATATATAGTATTTATGATATGTCCATAATATCTATAGTGTGAAGAATTTCTTGTACATACGTTAACGTATTCTGAATATGTGTATATTATTTTAAAAACAAGTGAAGTACGTGCTGTTTATTCATCGTTGAATTTATCGCTAACAAGTCACAGACACCTACTGTAGAAGAATCCTAAACCCAACAACAACAGAGTATATATTTACACTATTAATAAATATAACTAAAAGCCTTTTTATTTTAATACTTGGCAAAAGGAAGAATATATACTTTTAATTTCTGACAGTTTCCCTTTCTTCTCCAGCTTTTTCTAAAAGAAATTATATACTTTCCCAGCATATTTTACTTCAACTGTTCACATTATTCAATCATTATGTTTTTAAATGTTACTTAGCTTTTAGCTTATTTTTTGACATCTATGTACTTTACATGCATATCGGTTTAGGTTGTTAGCCTCTTGGCACTCTTACAAACATTGTTTTATTCCACTGATCTCTCCTTCTAGAACCTAATTTGCCTTCTTTGTTTGCTTTTAAGGACAGACACTTCCTCCATTTTGTTTGAATATCAGGCAGCCCTGACAGCAAATTCAAATTATTTTTTCAATCTATTATTTGAATATGAAGACTGCGACTAACTTGTTTCTTTAGTTTTGTGAGCATCACTCTTCTGTCCTTCCTAAATGAATCCTTGGTCACCCTTATGAATTAACTGAAATGGCTTCTCCATTGATGGACCTTAGTAGGTCAGAGTTTCATTGATGGAAGGTACCAAACTAATGCAGTTATTTTTTATTTATATTTAAAGATGTTTATTAGACCCAAGATAAATATTGATTTTGTTATTAATTTATTTATAAGTAATATTTTATTTGTAGTTTATTTATTCATTGTTTAGTATTATTTCAGTGGCCTCTAAACAATATATTATGTGACAAAGTGTATTAGGTGCTAGAAATAGGAAATATGTAGATTTAAGTACCTTTAGAATTGAATGGGAAAACATGTAGATGACCTTATTGTGACAGGACTAACTTGGTAACCTTTCAAAAAAGCAAACATACAGAGTATGAGAATGTTACGTAAATGACTTATATTTACTCTCTGTAATTTGCATTATTTAAAGAGAGTGGTACATTGTATGAATGGTTTGATGCTACTGCTCTAGTATAGTTACTGTGAAAAAGTTCAAACATTACCTATATATCTTCATAGATTTGTAACATACCTTTAGATATAATCAGAGAAAAAGTATATTTATTTATAATAATAATATTAATACAAATTCAGCTAGGCAATGCAAAATTATTAAGAAAATGCTAACATTATTATAAAATAAACTGTAAACCACCATTTTTGTGTTTTTAGTTATATGCTAATTAAATAAGAGGTCCTACAATTTTCCAAATTTTTATCATATTGGTTACACATTTTACTTTATTTTAAATAATTTCACACAATCTTCTGTAGGTAGTTTATAACAATTTAGTTTCAATTGAGAGAATGTAAATTATCTGAAGTAAGGAATATGTTATAACTCACTAAATTTAACTAACTTTTTTATCAAATATAATTTTATGTAGAGTTTAAATGTGTTTATTCCGTCTCTCTTGTAGTAAGTATTCCTCACAAGTCAGGAAAATGGTTGACCGTTGTCTAGGAAGAGGAAGAGAAAATGTGAAGAAAGAAATGGAAATATTTCAATCCAGACTTCTTAGTGCCTTGAAAAGCTATCAAAAAGAGCAGAGTAGATTCAAAGATTGTTACATTGAATGGCTTCCAAAGAGAAATTTCACACTGGAGAAATTAGAAACCATTTCCAAAAATATAGATAAATGTCATGAGAAAACTAATCTTGCTAGTGCAGTTGGTACAGCAGCATCCATTATTGGTGGTGTTGGGACAATTGCTGGCTTGGCCCTTTCACCAGCTACTCTTGGAGTATCTATGGGATTTTCCATGCTTTCTTTTGGTGGAGGATTGACTCGAGTAGGATCGTTTGTTAAAGAAAAAGTCACATCAAATAATTTTATCAAAGATGCTCAGATTGTTTGTTTAGAAGATATAAGCAAAACCAGAGAAATATTGCAAATAGGGGAAAATATGTTAAAAAGAGATGAGGATCTAGATAAATTGTTGGAAGAAGTAAAGAATTGGGCTTGCGATCTTACAAGAATGTTAGTAGATGTTAAATCATCTCAAGCAGCAAACTTAGCAAAGAATATTTTAGCTCTAACAGCAGAGTTTCAGTTCTTGCTCATACAGGGAGGAGACTGTATAATTGATGCTCTGAATATTGTAAATAAAATGTTTTCCATTATTGGTGGGAAGCAAAATGGGAATTTAAATTATGTGATTAAATGTATGAGGAGAAGAAAAGGATCTATGGGGAGTATTAAGCAAAACCATGTTCTGAGTGACGACTTCGCATTTCTAAATCCCACCTTAGGATTTCAGAGGATGATGATTGAAGGCAAAAATATGACTTCTGTAATAGATAAAATAAGAAACACTACTACATTGAGCAGGCAGTTACCACAATCACTTAAGGATTTTTATAGCACAGTGAAGTTGTGGGTGTTCCCTTCAACATCTGCTAATTGCACTAGTTCAGTTTTGAAAGAGATTGCTCATGGAGGTGGTCTTGTATCTTCTGCTTTTGTGGTCTTAGATACCTATTGCTTAGTTAAAATCTTTCAAAATATTGAGGGAGGGTCCAAAACTGAACAAGGAGAAAAACTGTGGGAGCTACATGACAAACTACTTAGAGAGAAAAAAATTATAGAAGAGGTATATACATCTTTGACAAGTTAGGGGATGCCCCCTCAGTAGCTCAGTGGTAGGACTGAGGGCTATAATACTAAAAAGGGGGGTTATACACTTGGTGACCACAGCACAGATAGCCCATTGCATAGCTTTGCACTTAGCAAAAATTATGGGATATGTGAAAATGAACAATGTGAAATTCTGTCACACAAAACTATAATAATAAACCTGAATTTAAAAGCATGAAAGCTATAACTGGCTAATTAACATGATATAATTGATTAATTATGAGTTTCAGTTACATCAATTATTGTTACATAAAATAATTGATTAATCAAGATTACAAGTAAATCGATTAATGTCAAAAAAATAATCAACTAATTGAAATGTTTTTTTCAGTTATTATTCTTTTCAATTAATTCAGCTGTCCAAGTAATAAGAATATTGCCATTATGATTTCTTCATATTATTTTTCAATTATTTCAAGTTTGTTCTGCTTAGTCATTAGTATTATCATTCAAAAAAGTAGTCACCTAATTGAAACAGTGCTATCCAATTGTTTACATACTACTGATAATTCGGTTTAGCCCATATTAGTATGTTTGGCAACGTTTTTCTTATTTTATACCATTGGTAAATAATAAGCTTTCTCGTTCAATAGCCGAGCTTACATAGTCTTATCGTCCCCATGTTTTGACCAGGGAGTGAGTGTGTTTTTTTTATTCATTTCAAAATTATTGCAAATAGCTAAATACTTTCTTTGCGAGTGCTAGTAAATCTCGATCTTCTCTGTCTGTCTGTTGAAGAATTCCAACTGAACTGAACGACTGAAGGCCTGGCATAGGCACGACTCGCAATCTTAAGGTCGCGGGCTCGAATCCCCGTCCCACCCAGTCGTGGGAGCATTATAATGTGATGGGTGACGGTCAATCCCACTATTCGTTGGTAATAGAGTAACCCAAGAGTTCACTGCTAAATTAGGGACGGCTAGCGCAGATAGCCCTCGAGTAGCTTTGCATAAAATTCAAAACAAAGAAACAAGGTCTCAGAACAAAAAGTTCTACTGGCCAGGTGTCCCAACGACCAAGTAAAGATCTGTTGTTTACATTTGTATTTCAAAGTGAATTGGAAATTTTCAACAGAAAAACAGATCATTTTATAAAAACATATAAGTTATAATAATATTATTATAGAAATAATCAACATAAAGTGGCAGGTAATGCTATTTATTTCACTCAGTCAATTCTACAATTTTATTTATATAATAGAAAAATCAGTTTTTCGAAAGTTTATTTGCGTGATTGAATTTCTTTTACAATGATATGTTCATTTGGAAACTCGTTTGACAAAGCATAATATCAGTGTTACATAGATTACTATATTCAATGGAGCAAAATATCCATATCGAGATTAATAACATGTGGATGAAATCAGGTGTGATAGGACTTATTAGACGAAAACATGGTAGAAGTTGTACTGTTTCCATTTGGACACGCCATATTGTTTTTAGTTTATATGATTATGGCGGAAACAACTAGAGATTAAAACGTTTCACGTACAAATGGACATGAAAAAATCCTTCTCAAATCTTCATAGATTGTAAGTTTAATTAGGGTATGGATGATCATATGAGTATGATGCATAGGATAAACATGTGGAGTTTGAATGTTTTATGTATAAATTTATATGGAAAACAGTCGTTTTGAGGACTACGTAGATTGTAAATTAAACTAATATGTATAATCATATGAGTACATCATAAAGTATGCTAAACGAATAGTAAAACTGTAACAAACTCATTGAAACAAAATAATAATTTTACTCATTCAAACAGTTTGTTATTGATAGACATTGACGAATTGAATATGCACAACCATACTGCCTATTTTCTTTTGGACACAGCTTTAATTAAATGTTTTATACAATATATATAAATCTAGAGATTGAATGTTTTAAGTTGCATGAAAAATAGACTTTTGAATAGATTGTAAGTTAAACTAGTATAGGGATGATCATGTGAGTAAATCACTATACAAATAGCCATACTGTAATATATGAATAAAAAATAATAATTTGAAATATTCAAGCGTTATGTTTATTATTGAATAAATTATAAAGTACAAAGATGACCAAGCGGTAATGCAGGATTAATATTTTAAATTCGATGACGAGGAACCCACTTTGAGACTAATAATGGCTGGAGA